AACGCTAAGAGCACGTGCAAGCCAACCTGCGTGGAAGGATGCGCTTGTCCTACTGGACAGGTCAGTTAATCTACTGCTTAACTAAATTCGCAGTTAAGTCATTTAACTTATGTCTTAATATTGTTGATTACAATTAGGTTCTGGACAGCAGTAATGTGTGCGTACCTATCGCGCTGTGTCCCTGCTTCCATAAAGGCATGGAGTTCAAACCCGGATACAAAGAAGTGAGGGGCGGAAGACGGGAGCGCGAACTTTGGTAATTACATGCTTTCAATTGCATTAACAAAACAGATGTCTCTCTTATATGAGATTAGTATTCAATGAATTGTTTATAGTACATGTGTGGGTGCGAGATGGGACTGCGTGCCGGCGACTACCGAGGAGATCCTACGGTACCCGCCGGCTGAGGACCTGCGCAGCAACTGCAGCTCTTCACAGCACAAGGAGTTCACCACCTGCGAACTGGCGGAGCCACTCACCTGCAAGGTCAGTTGCGATTTCAGACAATTTACAACTTATATATACTTTTTATAAATATTAGTAGATTTTAGTTAATTCACTAATATCTATATTACCATTGATTAGAAATTCATACACCTAAGTAGCTAACTAGGCTGGCGCTTTCAATATGCCTAGTCAAATTTAAGAATGACGATGTTTATAATGTGACGGTGACATGACAACGCGATTATTTGCAATCATAAACCCTAAAAGAAATGAAATCATCAGTTTTTTTTAATTACAAATTCCTGTAACGAATTTAGTCATAAATCAGTAGATAAGAGTTCATTTGAAGGTTGTATTTGTTTGCAGAACATGCATCTTCCTCCTTTGACACGTGCGAGCGAGTGCCGGCCGGGCTGCCAGTGCAAGAAGGGCTTCGTGCTGGACACGGGGTCGGGCAAGTGCGTGCAGCCCACCAACTGCCCCTGCCACCACGGCGGCAGGAGCTACGCTGATGGGCAGAAGATGCAAGAAGAATGCAACACATGGTGAGTTAAATACATTAAAAATAGAATAATAAAGAAAGCGCCTGCAATTTTCTTCAACTTGAACTTGAAATGGTCGCATTGACACTTAAATTCTGTTTATTTTTTGGTAATGCCCAACTGAGTTATTTGG